TCCCATAAAATGCCTCAGAGGGAAAACAGTATTCATGCATACTCATACTTTTAGTGTTTTTTGGACTACTATTTTACTGTCTTACCCAAATTTACACAAAATATATTGGCTGTCCTGATGATCATGTAATATGCAATGTAATTTTTACATACCCTTCTTCTGTGGCATTCCACACTATAGAAAATCTAGTGTTTCTTCAGAAATCTGTTTTTTTCCCCAACATTATTCAAACATGGTTCTATTTTCCACAATTTTCTTTCTTCCCTAGAGAACCTTCTGTGAGGTTCACATCCAAGAAGTAAATCCGGGCTCCAATTTTTCTGCTGTCTTCAGAGTTCCTATGCTCATAACTTGCTTTTTTAGTAGATTATTATAAACTATTGTTTATAGCAGACAAATACACAAATAAGTGGAAAAGAGATTTCCAAGAGATCCTTGGGCACATTAGTTTCAGGATCCAAGCAAGCTCAAATCGAAATGGATTACATGCAGGTAGGCAATTGATGAGTGATCAACTAGATCAGGAAGGATCCTGGCATTTCCCACTCATTGAAGAGAATGAAATATAGTATGAAGACCACATGGGCATTCAGGGTGCAGATTATCCTTGTGTTTTGTATCACAAGGCTTGAATATAGGCATGAAGAGTTCATTTAAAACAAATACCTAGTTCTCCTTGCCTAATTAACATTCATGTATTTTGCAAAGAAGCACATTTAAAAATAGGGATGGCAATGTGGGAAGAAGTTGAGGAAAAAGTTGAAAAAACAGGTCCAGGGAACAAAAACTAATTTCCATTTTCTCAACCAGCAAGGTGTATATGAAGGAACAAATCCCCAAATTTGTTAGGTCAGTTATTAAGGTTATTAGGTGCTAATAACCTTAATAACCAGCGAGTACACACAAGCATTCTTTAGTTACAAAGGTGAAAGGCAGTTCCTCATTTCTACAGTCAATTTTCTCAGGCATGTGATGAAAATTAACCAAAAGACAACAACACAAGCAATCATGGTTTTGGCTTGAATTAATCGCTTGAGACAGTGTTCTATAAACTTAATTTTCTTCTGCTTTGGTACCCGCAGGGAATCGAAATATATTTATTGCTTAATTCGGACGTTGGGGTAATTATTTATTTAGGTAGGGAAGAGAGCTTCTGCAATCCTTTATATCGCATGAAATTACAAAGATGATAGATGATGTATGGATGGATGGATTGAAAAAGAAACGAGTAGTTATTGACCAATAACCAAACTTCTTGGCAGTTCACAGTCTGAAAATAATCTATAAAATATACCACTTGCTGTTATGATGCACTCTGTGTGAATCCCAATGAGAATTTGCTGCAATGTGTTGACAATAATAGAAACATATATTTGTTGTTAGTTGCGAAGTCGTGTCCGACCCATCACAACCCCATGGACAATGTTCCTCCAGGCCTTCCTGTCCTCTACCATCTTCTCATGTCTACTGCTTCTTTACAGCATCAGACTTTCTACCAGATGCATCCACAGCTGAGTGTCCTTTCGGCTTTGGTCCAGTCGCTTCACTCTTTCTAGCGCTACTAGTACTAGCCCTCTGCTCTTCCCCAGTAGCATATTGGACACCTTTCGACCTGAGGGATATATATATGAATGAAGGCATGCCTTGGCTTCAAAAAGAGATTTTTTTTCCCTTCATAATCCTGGATGAGCCTATGAATGAGCACAATTTAGGACTGAGATGAAACATTACCCCAAAGTTTTTTCTGTCTCTTTGGTGCTGAGATTTTTGGAAGGATATAAGAGGCATTTCCTGAACAGTGGATGAGAGAGAGACTTTATGGGGAAGAGTACTGAAAAGAGGATGAGGAGAGAGAAAGAAGCCACTAATAGAGCACAGGTAGTCATCAATTTACAACCATAAGTGAGCCCATCATTGCTGTTGCTAAGCAAGACATTTGTTAAGTGAATGTTGCTCCATTTTACAACCTTTCTTGCCAAAGTTGTTGAGCAAATCACTGCAGTTGTTAAATTAGTAAAATGGTTGTTAAATGAATCTGGTTTTCCCACTGACTTTGCTTGTCAGATGGTTACAAAAGGTGATCATGTGACCCCCCGGACACAGCAAGCATTATAAATATGAGTCAGTTACCAAGTGTCTGAATTTTGATCACTTGGCCATGGGGATGCTGCAACAATCACAAGTGTAAAAAACGGTCATAACTCACTTTTTTCAGTGTCATTGTAAGTTTGAACAGCCACTAAATGAACTGTTGTAAGTTGAGGACATATATATATATATATAAAATTAGGTTGAGAATAGGTTGAAAAACAGTTGCTTAGGTTGAGAATAGGTTGAAAAACAGTTGCTATGCATGTTCAATAGTACTTGGGGTTTTTTAAAATTATTTTTGGTAAGTAAAAAGCAGGGGATAATGCTACTTTGAAATGAAAAGGAGATACTATAGCAGCATCCTTAATTGTGATAACGTGATGTTTTGATAAAATAAATATATATCAGTTTGAAATAACTGTTCCTGAGTATTCTTAAGAAGCACTTTGAATAAAGGCCTAGAAGGAAGAACAAGCTGGGCGTTGAATATATTGATGCTGGTTGGTAAATACTTTCTCCGCTCTTCGAATATGATTCTCTTATTCTTACACTTTCTACTTATTTATTTAACTGCTTGATATGGATTTTGTGGTTTATTTTTTCATTCCTGTCACTCTTGCTATCTTTCATTCTTCATTTTTGTTTATTATTGTCTTTGTTCCTTGTCTTTAATGTTTTTATTTATGAACTGCTCAGAGGGACTTGCATATACATTTAAATAAATATACAGGGCTACCCAGTACCTATCACACTTTAATGACACTCAGTAGCTAACAGTAAATAAAAACCAGAGCAAGAGCAGCCCAAACTAATTAAAACTAGTTACTGTAATGGTCTCCCATATTAACCTTTTTATTTACTTGTTTGCCATTAACACATTCCTGGTATAGCTGAACAAATAAAGAATAATTAAGAAGTATGACACACTCTAGGTCTTTAGTACATTTTCCTGGTTTCAAGCTGGACACAAATCTAAACTGAATCACGTAGGATATTCTTGACCTTCTTATCAATTACATTGTGCTTGTGGGAAAACACTAAACAATACTTACATTACAGAGATGTCTTCCTTTTTTAATTTAAAAATGCAGGTCAACATTTCATTTTCATTTTGTCCAATCTTAATTTTGGGGGGCTGGGAGTATTGAGTTAGGAATAAATGATTAGCAAGAGGTAGATGGAGCTAAATTCCTAGTTCCGAATATGGCATTTCAATAATCACTGTATTTTTTCCTTCTTAAGTAGCATAGCTTCACAGTGCACAAAATGAATTATGTCCTGAAAAAAAGGGATAAAATACATAAGACTTATGTTTGAGCTAATCATGTATTACAGGAGGTAACTTCTAACTCTTCTTTCACTCCCCGAATTAGTAAACAGGATGAATTATATTAGAGAGCACAACCCTTTTCAGTTCTTAGTAAGTCTGAAGCATTGAAAGCTTTGCTCTGCTTAATATGTTGAGGCAAGCCTGTGTTCTTTAAACAATTTGTTTCATTGCCTGTTAAGCAACGTAGTCATATTTTAATCCATGCCAATGGAAGACCTGATCCATGAGATTAAGCCACTGTTTCAATTAGAAGGGCTGGAAGATTATATTGTGGCAGGAGTCAGTTGGAAGACATACATGAGCTAAGAAAGATCTGCCTGTACATGCCTGGATTGTTGACATTAGCTTCCTGATAGACTGCCTCAATATACACGCACGCTTTAGCAATGAAGGATAGAGAAATAAAGTATATGGGCTCCTTTTTTATTTGCATATTTCCATCAATAGCTAAGTATAACTCCTGAGCAGGAGCAATGCAATGCCCTTTAAATAAGATCTTTGGAGCATGTTTCCCATACATACAGTAGGTAGGGAAGAAAAAAAAAATCTAATGAAAAAGATGCTTACATAGATCTGGAAAACCAGTTAAAAGGAAAAGGTGATAACAGAACATTGAGTAGCTACTATAACAAAGTGCCCTATGCATAACTAGACTAAAGAAGGACAGATAATTTCAGAATGCCTGGTTTTTTCCCCCAACACTTGGGGTTCTCGTTTGTTGATCAGCCAGATGTTAAAAGCACCATTTACAAGGTTTAGCTACGAAGATGACTCTGTGGAACCAAATGCACACATTTATAAAAATTTGTTGCCTCTGGAATTCTTTCACAGCTCTCCCGCCCTTTAGAGAGATTTTGATTCTGTGAAATGAAAGAGATCTTTGTCTCAAAAGGACTTGGAAACATTTGAAGACTGGTATGTTTAATTTCCTCTGTGGAATCACTCAAGTGCAATTTTGTCTGTTACCCTATGATTTTACAAGCAGCAGTCTGGATGTGACTGCAAGTAATTAAATCAACGTATAGCGGTATTTGCCTACAGTCATGCTGAGCATTATGAGAACCAAGGAAAGGATCGTTTTGCTTTCTCTAGAGATCCATAAACTTTGAATAGCTGTTATTTTTAATAGTCAGCTAGGCTGACTTCCCAAACTCTATTCCAGAGAAGGAAAGTGGATATGCCTAGTTTTTATATGCCACTTTGAGAAGTAATATTACATTGTTTGATGTGCATTTAAGATTCTGGATATACAGTACATGCTGAATTGTTGTTGAAAGGGCAGAAACAGCATTAAAATTAAATGTTAATTGTGTGTACATGCTGGCATTCAATTTAGTGTGTGCTTGTGGGCGTGTGTTAACAATCAAATTTTTCAATAATTCCCCTCCTTCCACCCCTGCAACAAGAGATTGTAATAACTGTGGAGTGAAAGAAGGTAGTTCAACGTTTGGAATGCTGTTCCTCCTGCCTTCTATTCAATTAGTGGTCCTCTGCAAATCCCTCGCTTCCCTTGAATTGCATCATTATTTTCCAACAATAACTAGGCAAGCGCTCGTGGGAGATTAGGAATCAAGTAAGATTCCTCTATCCCAGGATCTAATATCACCTAGCATATTGTACTTGAACGTGGACATTTCATTTTGCTTTCCAAATAAACCAGAGGATCTCCTATGATCAGAGATGAGCTGTAAGAGGTAGGGAGAATTTTGGCGTGGGCAGAGCTGAAGGAAGATGATTTCATAGGATGATAAAGGATGTTGTAACATGACTGTGTTGGAGGCACAAGCTACCATAACTAATCCCCCAATGTTTAACCCTGCAGAACATTTTATTGATGACATCTGGCTCTGCTTCCTGCCACTCCTTGAGCCTACATGCCTTGGAATGTCCCTTGTCTCAGAATTCATGGCCTCAGGACCTGTGCAGTCACTGGGTAAAAGTAAGTATAATTGACACAGTAATTATGGCAACATTTTGCTTCTCCTGAATCACAGACCTCTTACTCTACGAGCGGCCCTTTAGAAAGTTGAACTTTAAGCAGAGATGGGCCACTTCTCCCCTCCCCTTGATTTTTGCAAGTGATATCAAAAGTCCTGTGATGTCTGTTAAAGCATGGTTTTTCCACTGATGTATTCATAAAGCCATAAATAAATCTATATGAGACATAATCAGGTCTCATAAGAGCAACAAAACAACCAGAGCCACTTGTCTTATATATTTACATTATACTAATAAGCTTACATAATATAAAGGTTATGTTATAGCTTTTCCTGGAACAAAAAAGGTCAGCAAAGGAAAGTGTTGTTTCAGCCACCATCACGATTATATGGTACAGAATAATGAGAGGCAATAGAGAAACTGTCTTATATCCAGTCAGATTGTTGGCACAAGGATGTTTATGATGACAGGCAGGGACTCTGCAGAGTTCATGGATTTATCTGGAAAACCATGTTAGGAATCTAATTGGAGGCCCTACCCATGAAAACAAATATCATCCTTAACTAGGGTAAAGTTTTAGTCCAGCTGTTGAACCTCCTTCTTCTGGGGACAAAGCATGTCAGCACACTTACATGACAATAAATAAACCTGAACAAAGTATAAATGACTCCTGAATAAACCGTCATAGATGACTAAGACTGTAAAACACCTCTGCTTTAGCCATTAGCTTATAAGGAGGCAAATTTCACAATTCTTCCCATTGCACAGAAGATCAAGTCACCTCCTACAAGTTCAGGCAGATCATTAAGCCCTTCCTTTCTGGAGGACTGCCAAAGTAGAGGAGAAGAATGACTCTAGTACATAACTGTATGGACTTTGCTCCCTGACAGAGGAAATCCTGAAATGAGTTTGGTTGGGTACACCCCTCTTCAAACATAAATATCTTTGATTCATTGGACAGTAGGAACCAGTACCCCAATATTGTTAAATTACTTTGGAAATGATTTCTTGAGAAAGTATTATAGTGGATAAGTATTATGATTAGTTTTTCATATCTGCTCTTCAAAAGAGGTCCTTGGTGCTCTCTGAGCTTGATTGTTTTCTTGCAAAAAAAAAAAAAAAAAGCTCAGAGAGTACCAAGGACCCCTCATTTCAATCTTGAGCTATAAATATTCTCCTTTATGGGTATTCTTTAAAGCAGGGGTCTTCAAACTTGGCCCTTTTATGACTTGTGGACTTCAACTTCCAGAATTCCTCAGCCAGCATGCCTTGCTGAGGAATTCTGGGAGTTGAAGTCCACAAGTCATAAAAGGGCCAAGTTTGAAGACCCCTGCTTTAAAGCTTGCAGCAGCAGCAGGTGAGTTTGTCATTACTAAAGCTAGAGAAAACTTTCTAAAGGGGAGTTTCAGAAAAAACGAATGAAACATTCCTCCTTGAAACATTAAAACAGCCACATCATTCATCAGGTTCCGGCCGATTACTTCAGAGACTTTCTTGGTTATTCCCACAAACATGTGCACTAAGTCTTCTGAACGGCCTGTGTGCTTTAATATTTCAGGGAAAGGTATCCTGCTTGTATGCAAAAAGCCCCATTCAAATGTTTTGCATTCCCTAATTCCTTGGCAGTAGCTACAACAAGATGGGGAAATGTCTTATTACCAATGACAAAGCCAATAGCCTCCTGCTTACATAATTAATATGCCATCAGTTCTCTAGCACCTTACAGTCCTTGGCATCAAAGCCAAAGAGAAAACTTGTTGGAAAGTATAGTTCATACATATTGCTCTCATCTTGTAATCAAACACCTATTTTTAGCCAGTGAAAAATCCATAATATTCCAGGAGTACAAATTGGGTGGGGGTAGGGGATAGGTGAAAGCGAGATAAGGGCCTCCCCATGACTTTAATGACCAATGGCAAGTTATGGGAGATGCTGCTGCTAAACAACCATGAACAAGAATAACAGCCACCATTTCTTAAGCACAAGATCACTTTTGCTAGCTATTGATCAGGCCAGACAACATGATTCCCAGTGACAGCACTGTGACTGCAGTCTTCCTTTGGTGCTTGCCAGGTTCCCAGAGCCAACTTTTGAAGCTCATATGTTTTAGTAAAAAGCATAGTGTTCATAAAATGCTGGTCACTTCATGATAGAATTAGGAGGGCGTAAAGAGTGTGATCTTTTTCCTGTCACAGATTTTTTATAAACATGAACGAATCAAAATTTGTTGCAAATGTTTTTCCTCTGTTTGATTCCTTCCCTCTATTCCCCCAGCTGTATAATTTGTAACTATCACTGTACTGAATTCACTGGGCACAGCCACACCATTGTGTTAAAGTGCTATTCCATTATGCTGGAATATTACCCTGATTCTTATTCAGCTGCATTAACAAGACCAGGATGAGGTGCTATCCATATTCGGTGTTTTGTTTGTTTGCTTATTTTGGCATTTCTGTGTTTTGTTTACCTCACAAGAAAATTTCTGGGTTATTTTGTAGGCAGGTAGCTCAGATGCCCTGCCTGCTTGTCATTTTCATATATCTAAGGAGGTGGTGATGGTGAGGGCAGGAGAGGAATGGCAGAGTTAAAAAAAAATATGCTCACCATTTCAAATGAAGGCAGCACAAAAAAATTTACAGTATGGCAAGTATCTCTTGAGACTTCCCTCCTGACTTCCATGAGAAGATGAATGGACAATCCTGCCCTTAGCCCTCCAAAGCACCTCCATGTTTCTTGAAAGCAACAGGTGGAGGGAAGGAAGGCATGTGGAGAGGATTGTAGGATTGAGGACTTGCAAACATCAACTGGTTCTATCAGCTGCCCTTCTTTGCTACAACACAGATATTATGGGGAAAGGGGACTAAATCTATTCCTCTAATTCAGTGGTTCTCAATGTTTCTAATGCCGTGACCCCATAATACAGTTCCTCATGTTGCGGTGACCCGCAAGTGGGTGTGGCCACTAATAAGAGGGAGTAGGACAGCTAGGGAAAAGGGGAAAAAAATGGCGGACTGCGTTGTTTGGCGACCCCCATGAAATGGTCATGCGACCCCAAATGGGGTCCAGACCCACAGGTTGAGAACCACTGCTCTAATTGGCCTTGTCCGAGTACATCATTCTTAGTTGATTTGGGGCTCTCTGAAATCCCAGCTGAGAAAATGGGCTTTGCTTCCCAGCTCTTCTTTAATTTTTAGAAGTTGGTTATGTTTAGCTAGAAATTTTTGTTTTTGATGCAGGACAAGTTTAAAAAAGTGACTGGTGGGGTCCCCTGGATTCATTTCCATTCCCACTGAGCATCACCTACCAAAGAAAGAAACAACCACTAACCCAGTGTTTCTCAACCTTGACAATTTTAAGGCATGTGGACTTCAACTCCCAGAATTCCATAGCCAGCAATGCTGGCTATGGAATTCTGGGAGTTGAAGTCCACATGCCTTAAAATTGTCAAGGTTGAGAAACACTGCACTAACTATTCTTCTTAAAATGTAGCAGGATCGGGATTTGGGCCAAGCAGATACGTACTTGGAAACTTTTGTTTAACCCTCTGTCAAGTTGCCAAAGTAAAGGTTAAGTAACCCTCTATACCTGTGACCCGTTACTTGGGTTATTTCAGGACATAGGTCTAAAAAAGCATTAAGGCTGTGTCCAGAAAAGCTCAACTGAAAGACTCTTGATATGAAGAAGGGGTCCAGAAGGATGCAGAAGAGAGCGACTGATAACACATGAGCTCAGCTAGCGCTACAAGGCAGCAACAGTGCTGGTAATGAGAGCTTATGGCCAGTAGCTCCTGAAAATAACTTGTGAGTAGGCCAAATGTTTTCTCTCCAAAATAATAAAAATAGTAAAAAGTCCACCCATGCAAAATCCTTCCTCAAAGAAGCAGCAAAAAACCTGTACTAAAATTATTGACAACAGAACCAGCAGTGCATAATTAGCAGAAACTAATTCTAAGATTTGGCTTTAACTAACCTTCTGTGCAGCACTCTCTTTCATGAGAAAACTGGCCCTGGTTTTTTAAAGATAGAACCAGTGAAAAAGAAGGTTCATGGCTTTTTTTTTTTTTTAAAAAAAAAAGAATGCTTAACTTGTGCATGCAAGGAGCCGACCTCAGAGTTGATGAGAAAACCCTAATTTGTCATAATACATGAAAGTGCCCCTTCAAAACTAAGGTGGCAAGGAAAAAGTATGTATCTGCAGCAGACTAAACCAGTGCATAAGAGCTAGGCAGATCCCAGTGTCCTGACTATGTCATCAATCAAGTCATCCATGAAATGTCCAAGATTGTGTCCTCAGCAGAAATGGTGTCAGGAGAAGAAGGAAAACACTACTTGAAAACTGGAACAGCAGTTGTTGACTTTACATGCCTTTAGCTATGGGACATCACAAAGGCATGGCATATAAAGCTGGTCGCTAATCATGTTCATGTTATCATTAAGGGAATCCACAGAAAATTATACTGATATGCCATTCCTCTTTCCATTGTCCATCATTATCATGCCATTATTGCCAGTTAATGGATGATAGTCTATCAGATTTTGTGGGATCTTGAAGTGCCTTTTGAAAGTGTTTAGAGTAAGGGGAAAACTCTATATTAGTTTTGGTGCAGCTGAGGATGACTTAAGATTGCCACTTATGAGCTGGGGCCAAGACAAACTGGCATCCAGAGATAAAACAGAGAAGAAATATTGCTAGAACATGTTTGTGCCATGGCTTAGGTGCAAATGAGGACATAGCCTTGAGGAATCTGTCTTTTCTTTAAATGTTGATATTACTAAGCATACAAAGGGATCAAATATGAAATTGTACTCACTGTGCAAGCTTACATGAATGTAACTTTTGGCTAGAGTTGAATTCTGACAAGATGAATATGCTATGAAAATGTAACTAAGTTAGTGCCAAAGAAGTTCGTACTGAAATGTGTAATACAAACTTCCATAATTCTGCCATTCCACCTTTAAACTAAAAGACAAGTTTGCTAGAGGAGATGGATGTTGCTTATGATGTAGTTTCTGGTAAAAAGGTTAGCTTTGGGTAGAAAAAAGCTTCCAATGCACAGATCAAAGTTTGCCATTTGGAGAGAGTTGGGAAATCTCTGGATTTTTCATTTGTACATATTCCCAGGATGTTTGGTTGCTTTATTTGATGTGAAAGAGGCCACTCGTACTTAAGAAAGATGCCAGCCTAAGCTCTGTAGCCAAAGCTAAAATATAAATGAAAGGGCAGACAGAAAAAGAAATATTGTTCTGATGTCTTTTTTCTCTACAGATGGTAGCAGTTAAGATACTTGCTGGAATTGCAAACTTGACACTTCAGGGTGTTTCGGGCCGGCTTCAGATCAAGCTCACCAGGGTTGGGAACAGTTCTTTCTATTGGACAATTCGGTCTCTGCATTTTAATGGTGTACACACAAAGTGTAAATGTTATTGAGGAAGCTGTGTGTGTAAAAGAAAATTCTATTTGCACGTTATAGCTTTATCCAGGGCTCTTTTTGTCATAGAACACCCAGAACGGAGTGGCACGTGTGAGTTCCGGCACTTTTTTTTTTTTTTTTTTTTTTTTTTTTACAAAAAATAGCACTGGCTTTATCTGAAAAGATATAGGATCTCCTCTTGAGCAGGGTGTTGAACTAAAAGACCTCCAAGGTCTCTTCCAACCCTGTTATTCTGTTATTCTGTTTTGATAACACTGGTCTACAAAGAGAAAGCCTGGGAAATGAAAGTAGCTAAATTTTACCAGAATTGGGTCTCTAATAAAGGAAAATTAAGTCCTCAGTATTAATTGGCTCCAGTTTCCAAAATACAGATTCAGGTCAAAATTGCATCAAAATAATTCAAAATTACGAGGGGGGTGTGCGATTATGCTCCATACCTTTTCTGCAAAATGTGATATAGCAGTGAGAATGGTGCCACACCAATCATTATAAATTTATCTTTTTATTAATACTGATAACATAACTTTTCATTTATTTATTGGCTTTTCATGTAACATTTTCATGCTTTTTTACTCTGCAAGAGGTTCCACTGTTGTAATCTGGAGCCCAGTAGCTCTGCCTTACTCTTAGGCAATTCCAAATCCCTGACCAGGTCATTTAGTTCACTGTGTGAAATTAGATGTGGTTCAGAAGCAGCATACGGTGGGCTAAAGTTTGGGTCCCTGATATAGATGGCCCCGGTTCAGCTGCATCCTGTTCATCATGTTTATCATCATCTGAGTCTAGAGAGCAGGATTCTGATGGATTCTGGAATTGGCAAATCCTCACCATGGGGTACAGGACGCAGTGCGGATGGAATGTTTGGATATCCCATAGTCCACTTCTTCTTTCTTGAGATCCCTTTTGCAATTGGGGGAACCATGCAAAAATTGCAGTCGCTACTATGATTGGTGGGTTCGCTCCACACTACTGGGACTGTGAAAGACATGGAGTTTTTCTTCTTGTTTAGCCAATGATGCAGATAAGTTGCATATGTAATGCAACAATAATGAGGAGCCAAACTTCTGATCCCCTATTTTGCACCCAAAATACAGGTGGTATGCCTTTTTTACCACTGCCGTCATACTGCATTTTTGTAATGCAAATGTAACTTCATCAGAACGGTAGCAGAAGATATCTGCATTGTTTACACAGTTTCAAGGCATCTTGGCTTCTGAGGGAAAATATCACACAACTGTTCCTTGGAAATGTTAGGCAATGAAACTTTCACAAGCCACCAGATGTAACTATATGATGCATAGATCTGACCAAGACAAATGTGCCTTGCAATAAAAGAACAATTAATTACAGTTAGGTAATAATCTTTAGTTTCAAAGTGAAGATAAATTTATACACCTACATGTGGTACCATTTTCATTGTTCTACCATACTTTGTCGAGAAGTTACGAGGCATCATGATCATTAGATACATTTCTCCCTTGTAGGCAAATATACTCGCCTGTGTATAAATCTTTATTGTGAAATATCTTGAAAGTTTTAGCCAACCAGCATCTTTACCATCTGTTTTCTAATTCATCTAATCAAAATATGTAAGAATTAACACATTTTATCTCAGACGTCGATAATTTCCCAAAATTTGTAGACCAGTGTAATCAAGAAACACTCTTTACACTAAGTGGCACTGTAGAAAAAACACACCATTTCTATCTCCCTCTGGTTCTTCCTTCCCATGACACACACACACACACACACACACACAGAGAGAGAGAGAGAGAGAGAGAGAGAGAGAGAGAGAGAGTTTAGAACCCCAAATCATCTGAAAAGTGTGAAAGTATTTTTTCCCCTTCAGATAATTTTCTTTACACCTTAGTTCTGCATTTAATGGATAATGTAGACATTCAGTATATTATCACTGTGTGCAGGACTGAACTGGAGCTGGCATTGCAGGAATATCATTTACAAAATTGTTATACTCATGCTCTACAGATACAGATGCACATTGTATGGTTGCTATTGTAAAAAGATATCTTCTTTTTAAAAAAATGAAATGGTGTTTATTCCTAAGAAAATGTGGTTGCCATCAGGATTACAGCAATAAACTTCATTGTATACTTCAGTAAGTTGATGGTCTGTGACTTAACAGAGTTTAAAATATGAAATTGCACACGATCAGTAATTATACCTTGTTCAGAGAGTCTGTGATTCCCTACAGTGCAATCACCATAGTGTTCTCATGTTAAATAGATCTTGATCAAGCTTCACAAATGATGGGAACTATAATTTGATCAAATTGTCAGAGAATCCCTGCAGTCTTCTTCTGCTCTTCAGACCATCTAGTAGCTGAATCCTTTATTCTGACATATCCTGAGTCTGAGCCATAGCCATTGTCTCCTCTGCTGTGAAAGATGAAATGGTCCTGGAATCCAGGAAGCCAGCACATTATTTAATTTTCTTTTCAATGGGGATCTCAGCATGGCTAGACTCTCATGCACCATCTTTTTAAAATGTTCAGAGTTGTCTTTATCCTTCTGCATGATTCTTCCTAGCATGCATTCTCATTTTGTTGCATATCCCATCTTTCTAGAATTAAATCAAAATTTCCCCCCTTGTGTTTAGAGTTATTTTGGGTAGACAGTTGGTTTGGATAGTTCTCTTGCATTATGGCTCTATGCCTGGAGCATATCTCTTTATTTGCTCATTATACAATAAATCATAAATTAACCGCAATGGCTGTATTTGCACAACACACCAAATTTTATATAACCTGACCACTGTTAACAATAACCAGGCGCATTATGTTACATGAATGCAGCAGTTGTCTTTTTAATTGACTTGATTAACCATATTGTTTCCAAGAGCCTAGAACTTCATGTTCTATGTACCTGCCACACCTTGGAAGCAGTATCTGTATTTCTGGATTTATCAAACATACATGCATATATAGTAAGTGAGTTTGCATACATGAATTAGGACAAATGTTCCTATGGACCTGTAGATTTGATTAGAAGTTTGGTTCAGTTCAATAATAGGTTAGTAGTAATCAGTTACAAATCACCACTATGTAGCAGGCACTGAAACTAGGCTTTTTACCTTCCCATTGGCAAGAACAAGCTTAAAAATAAATGGTATCAACAGATGTCCTGTTTATTGGCTATTGTGGTGCAAACAGTGATCACATTAAGGAATCCAGAACCAGCGATTAAATCTAATCAAGCAAAGGTGTTTTTCCACTCTTGTTTGAATGTTTGTACAGCTTTCAGTAGCGTTTGGTGGACTATTAGGAGTTTCATTTTGGGGTGGGGAACAAATGTTATCTTTGTTTGATGTAAGAGAGAAACTTTGCTGGGTGTGCTGAAATAATGGTATCTCTTTAATCTCATTAGCAAGCAAGATATCTTTTGTTCCTAGGATTCTTCTACCATTTCAAAGAGTCACACAGTGTACAAGCTTTGGTGTTTGTGCACCTTTGGGGATTCTACTTGTTTTTTTGTACAAGGGCTTGGCATAAACCCTGCATGGCAACAGGGGGATATGTTGCAAGAGAAAGTGATAGCAGTTCTGCCAGCCAGGGAAAGGAGTAAGCATTATCTTTCTCAACATCTGGGCAGCACTGAAATTCTAGTTCTTCTCTCATCATTTTTGAGGGTTCTGGTGCACAGTTACCTCTGCCAGAGACTTGATTCTCCAGCAGAGCAGGGATAGTTTACGTGAAAGGGCCTTTGTTCTCACACTTTCTTTTGTGCCTTATTCCATGGCTAGACAATTTGCTTAACTGTAGGCTTCATTTGTGCAAACACTTCAGTCTCACAAAGTTGCTTCTTTTAATTTTTACATAGGTACACAGGACATGGGGAGCCCATTTCCTCAGAAGTAAGCATACTGCATAGAAGGGAATTTATTTCCCAATCTTAGTTATGTTATGTTGTTGTTATGTTGTTGTGTTGTTATGTTATGTTATGTTATGTTATGTTATGTTATGTTATGTTATGTTATCTAAAATAGTTTTGAAGATACGAGTCTCAGGTATATTCATATTCAGAAACTAAAACACAGATCACCGAGACTGAAGAATTTATTTAAAAACTCAATCCTGGCTAGAACTCTGACGATGTTTTTAAATAAATTCTTCAGTCTCGGAGGTCTGTGTTTTAGTTTTTGAATATGTTATGTTATGTAGATACAATTATATTATTTCAAGGATTTTGTCCTTCTAATTTTTTTTAGATTCCCCCCTTCCTCCTTTATTTTTTATAAATACTGTAACTCAAAGGGCCAGACCTACCTAATTCTCCTTCCTTTTCTTATTTTCCCCACCACAATGGCAACCCTGTGAAGTGGTTGAGCTAAGAGAGAGTGGCTCAGGGTCACTGAGCCAACTTTCATGGCTGAGGCAGGACTAGAAGTCAGTTTCTTTCTTGATGCTTTTGCCTCTTTTTAGCCCAATTCTTTACGCTGATCTTTGGCCATAAAAAGGCTTGGTTTGATTTATAATGAAATAAAGTCTTTAGAGAGGTAGAACTGGAAGAATTGCAAAGGTCTAATCATGACAAAAAAATCATATTCTTGAAATAAATTCTCACATCACAGAATATTAAAATTACCCAGCACTAATAACATAGCTGAATCCATAATAATCCCTGCAATAAGATCAAGTAGCTTATGAAGGCATGCTGCTATTCAGATGGGGATACGATACAATGATGATGATGATACTATATAATACAATAATAATGATGATGGCACAATACAATTTCAGCTTATTCATTCAACTCAACCCGTGGAACAGTGCTCCTTGAAATTACTATGGTCCCTTGCTTCACATTTATCTCTCCATCTTTCTTGCCTTGAAACCTGGCGAGATATGACTCTTTGAAATAGTAACCTTCAAAAAGGTAGCATCTGTAAAAATGGTAGCTAAGTTCAGTTTCTGAAAATCTTCCTTTTTTTCCAAATGGTCATAGCCAAGGATACCCAGTCTGTCTTCTGTGCCAGAATGAAAAGCACATCTGGACAAATATAATAACAGATGACATTTCACTGTAATTATGGCTCTTTGTGCATCAAGAGTT